AATGGAAATAAATTAACTGAATCTACAGAGCTTCACTTTTATGTCTTTGAAGCTCTAACATAAAGATTCATTGATAGTGATTAGCTGTGACTGCCATGCTCCAAGGATAAACTCTTCTCTGAGGATGCTGCTGATAGCTGGGTTGGAATGTTAATTTTGTTTTAATGATGTTGAAAAATTGATTTAAAATATAAACCCATTTTTATTTAGCAGTGACATCCATTCAGGAGAACATAGCAAATAAAACATATAATAATATATTATCTATATTATAACTAAAGATTGAAAATGACAAATTAGTCAATATATTAATATTCATTTGATATCTGTATATGAATTCATCTCAAGATACAGATTTCAGCATGAATATATGTTTTAGTAAAAAACTGTACAGTGTTAAAATCTAGGGGAAAATGACAGCAGATAAAAAATTGATATAATATGTTCAGAATTTATATTTCTGGAGATAACTAACCATCCACTAGATATACATGAATTTTAATGTGTTCACTGCCTGTCAAGGACTGTCCTGAGTGCTAGGCAGGTGCAATGCTACTGAAACAGACAACTTCATCTTCAATGCCATAGTATCTGTAAAAATTAGTTTCTTGGAAATAAAGTTGAATCTAGAAATAAAAGTCATTTAGGTCAATATGTGTAAGATAGTCCAGTCTAACAAATCTTCAGATTAAAAGTATAAAGTAGAAAATGAAACATAAAAAAACATTTGATTATAAACATGCTTATAACATTTCTGAACCTCAAAAATAAAGAGAAAAATCTTAAACTTTCAGAGAGAGAGAGAATGTGTATAAAGAAACCCTACATGTTAAATATGAAAGAATGACAAGCAATTGACAGTGGGCAAAACTGGAAGCAGGAAGAGTAATACTTTCAAATTTTTGAGGGAAAATTATTTTAAATCAATAGTTTTACAGTTTGGGCAATTATCAACTAATTTTAGATGTATAATATATTTTCAGAACTCTAAGTATTTAGGGAGTTTGCCACACACCCTATCATCACATTCCCAGAGAGGTGATATGGGTAATTGGCAGTTAAATATAGTCCAGGAGAGAACAGTAAGGTAAGAAATCTGGTGAGACATTAATACAGACACATTTGACATTGGTATTTCAGAAAGTTCTTCTTTTGGCAAAGATGCTAATGATGTAACATTTCATCTCCTTCCTTGTGAGTTTATGGTCCTTGATTCCAGATTAACGTATTGATGGACTCGGGATATTGTAGATGCTATTCTGAAGGAGGCGTGGGGCCACACTTGTGCATTTTGGAAGCCTGTGACTCTTTCTGTGTCAGGTAAGTTTATCAAATTTGGGGATTCAGTTTTAGAAAACCCTTTTCCCCCATATACTTAAGTCATGTTCTAACAGCTCTGTTAGCAATAAAGCTGGCATTGTGGTCTCTAATTGTCTGACTCTTTTGTCTAGCATCAAATAGATTCTAAACTTTAGTCAAAGAGCAGAGCTTCCATTTTCTGAGTCCTAAAATACCACATCTATATTCTAAGTGAAATTCAGGGGTTCATGCAGTCAAAGAACATTCAGAAATTGAGGTTTTTGATGTGCCAGACCATGTAAGTTTTTGGCCCTACAGTAGGGCCTATTATGTCATGCAGTTATTTTTTGTAGCTGTGGTTGACCAGCTTGAACAAGTAATTTTAGGTGTTAGCCTAAAACATTGCTGGAGAGCTAAAAAAGGGAAACACATTCTTGAAGATCAGGTGATAGGTATACAAGGAAAGAGGACAAGTTCTTAGGTCCAGTTGTTTGTAATGTGAGCCTCAGAAATAGAGATGTTTAGTTTGTGTTAAATCAGGAAAGTGCTTGTAGTCCAATTAAATCAAACAGAAGTTGATGGACAAGATCTCAGAAAATAGTGACCCTCCAGAGGGACTTGACATCAAGAAAATTGTTAGAAATCATATTTTTAATACCGAGATCTATAATAAGAATAATAAGTGACTAAATTCTTAAAGATTAGGAGCTATACCATGTGGGCTACAGAAAAATAAGACAACTTTTAAGGGTGAAGGCCAGAAAAATTAATGTAAAGTACTCAAAGCTGTACTGTCAGTTTGACACAATTATTATTGGTATTAGCAGCACTCTACACAAACCTGCTGGAAAAAATTAAGGAATTTAAGTTTTAAAGGAAAGTATAGCAGAAATAAAGCATAGTAAATGTGAACTTTAAGAATTAATAATAGATTGACTTAGGCTAGGTTAGATGTTCTGATGAAAGAATAGCACCTGCATGATCATACCCAGCTCAGAAAGGTGAAGGTTGATAAGATGTTTTTGAATAGTGGGTGCTTTAGCAGATCCAGTATTGTTGATTTTCTATTTCTCATCATAGGACAATAGCTAGAAACATAAGAAAAACAAATGCCTGTACCAGAAAGAAAAGTTAAACTATAATAAAGTAGGAACACAGATCTAGTAAGCTGTTCTAAGTCTTGTGTGCTCAGTTTGCTGGATTTTAAATGTACCTCAAATTAGACTTTTCTTTTGGGACTGGCAACATTACAAATTTCTGAACTTTGGAAAAATTCAGAATGTCTTGAATATTGCTCTATGAACGTATGGTTTTTAAAAATGTGCCATAACTAACATCTTTAGAGAAAATTATTCCCAAATTAAGAATCACATATTGTCCATTTTAAGTACCTGGTGTCTTAGGAAAGTTAAAAATAAAAATTTTCTCCAGGTCTGCCAATTTCTTTATAAAATTTTAAATACTTTAGAAAACTTAAGAATAATTTTTCTTGTCTATCTTATATAACTCATCACATGAAAACACTTCACCCTTTAGTAACCCAGAAACCACAGTATAATGTCATGCAAGTCCTGAATAAGTGTTAGCACTATATATACATCTCACACATCCTTGTTATATATTTATGGTCAGAGGGTTCTTACTATGGGATAAACAATAATAAAATAAATACTCTCTTCCATTAATTAACTTCATTGGATTCACTTTAATCCAAGTACTATTATTCTATAGAAAATAATTAACTAATAAATGTTAGTTTGTATTATATTAAATAATGCTTTTCATATTATTCTTATATTAGTGACAAGTATTCTATTTTATATATTTTAAAATCATATTTTGCCTAAACGTATTGCAAAATAAACTCAAAAGGCAAGCATAGTAATATTTTCAAACCCAATCCAGAACTAAAATCAGTTTCTGCCTATGAGGTTATGTAGGATTTGAAAAATAATTCCATAACATTGATATCTAATCAATCCAACAGTATGTAAAGTTAATAATAGCTAATAATAATAAATATTTTATGATCATTGTATAATTGTGATATTCAACTTTAGCAGCTATCAAAAGAGACATTTAATTTGGTCCCATAAAAAAAATGAACTATGTAATGTATGCCTCAATATCAATCTTGTATGCAATATGAAAGGTGGCCAGGTTGCCATTGTATGTAAATATTTCATTGAGGGAAAAATAAAAAATAATTTTTTAAAAAATATACCTTCATTGATTTCAGAGAGGAAGAGAGATATAGAAACATCAATGATGAGAGGGAATCATTGATTGGCTGCCTCCTGCATGTTGGACCGAGCCCACAACCCAGGCATGTGCCCTTGACTGGAATCAAACCTGGGACCCTTAGGTCCACAGACCCCGCTCTATCCACTGAGCAAAACTGGTTAGGGCAAAAAATGACTTTTAAGAGAAGTAAACCAAGTCTATTAGCCAGACTGGGTTTTGACTCTTCTTATTCCTTTAGATGTAAAGTAATTTTCAGAGAATAAACTTAAAAATCCTTTAGACTTGAAATAAATTTTAAAGAATCTATCAAAGAAGATTTTGAATTTCTCTCTCTCTCAATATATAACCATAAAATTGAATATAACAATCCTTGATAGGAATAAATAAAATTAAGAGATTTCAAGCAAATTGTGGTAATGTTTAAATATACATTTTGAGAGATAATTAAAGAAAATATTTGCTAGTATGGAATGCTACTGAACATTTCATTGTATATTAAAAATATGTTTTCAATGTTACTTTTACTTTCTGCACAGTATTTCTACTGAATTAGGATGAATACCTAATTTTTATAAGTAGAAAATTAGTGAAACAACTTAGCTAGTGAATTGTTCTGCAACTTGTAAGTACAAATTTCCTCCTTATTAGTAAACATCTGCAATGCAAGTGAGCTGGCAACATATGAAGTAAGCTGATTAGTCTGAATGCTATAACCATGAGAGCATCTATGTTAGAATCTCTGTTACAATGATGATGACTAGAGCCATGAACAGTTGAGGAGTAATCAGCCAATAGATTCTGGAATAAAGAGAAATCCTTTAGCTTTTAAAAATATATTCTAAAGGTGCTATTTCCTCACTGAAAATGTTATTATGTATTCAAAAAAGGTTATTTATGGATCCACTTGCTTTCCAATAGCTGGTGGGACTCAAAATTTGCAAATTCTGCAAGATACTTAAATGTTCCATATTATATGTGAATGAAAAGATATACTATCAGTTTCCTGACAGATGTACAACAATCTGCTGCAAGTCTAAAATTAGTTTATATTCAATCATTCGGAGGAATTTCTCCTTTTAAATATTCCATTTTAAGAGGAGATACTTTGTCATGAGAAGAAACACAAAGATGAATGGCATACTCTCTCATTGTATCATACTGATACAGTTCAGCACCGAATGTCACATCAAACAGACTACTACATTATTTGTAAGGCTGTATTTAAAGATTTTAATATACTTGTGTTTTGAAATAACTATATTTAGAGAAATGTTATTTCAAACTCTAGCCTATTAGAACAAGGAAACTCGAGCACTGAATAGTTTTAGGAAACACCAGGGCATTATCCGCCTCAGTCGGTTGTATTCGTCCAACTAGTCTCTTTTTAAATTCCCTATAAGCAATGACAAAGTGTAAATTAAAGTTTAAAAAAGGGAGGGAAAAATCTCCAAACCTACTTTTTCTTCAGTCTTCTATCCTTCTCGGCTTGAGTTCCAAGTTTGCCTAACCCCAGGGACTCCTGAGCCGCAGCTTCAGTCTCCATGAAGCCTCCTGTGAAGAAGGAACTATTCACATTAGGTTAAACATATTGTGTCAATTCTGCAATTTAGTTCTTAAAAATGTATTTGAGCAACTGTTTACTACCACATTTCCTCCTCAGCCCCCCACACACTTTTTGAGTGTGTTTATATTTCCAAACCAACATGCATAAACATACACTGAGAGAATGAAAAAAAACTAGTACCTACTGTTAGACTATTCAATGATACCTCAGAGCAGCATAAAACATGTGGCCTATGCACTGATAAACACATGAATATGTAATTTGAAAGTCTCGTTATCTCTTTTTCTACTTTTTTTTTAATAAAAAATAAGAGCAAATATTTGTGGAGTATTGAATTTTTCAACATTTAAAACTTTTAAAAGACTTCTTATATAATTGGGTTAATTGATAGTCCAGTGAGTAGAAACTCAGGTGTATGTCTTCAATTCCAAGACAAGAGAATGGAGAGGCATTCCCTGATTTCTCAAAGCTTTTCATTTCTAGCTTCTGGAATCCTTTTTTGCTCACCTGCATGATCCTTATACCCAGTATAAACCTTACTTCCAGAATTTCATACGTTCTGGCAGGTTTTGTTTTGTAAATCTTATAATATCTGGAAAAACTTCTAAGTCTATTTTCTTTTTTTAGTTTTGGAAAACATATTTATTATATGTGTTAGCATGCAACAGGATTATTATTTTTATTTTTATTATTATTTTTTTATTAATTAAATCTTTATGGTTCAGATTATTACATTTGTTCCTCTTTTTTACCCCCATAACTCCCCTCCTCCCAGTTCCCCCCCCAACCTCCGACCTCACGCCCCACCCACTGTCCTCATCCATAGGTGCACGATTTTTGTCCAGTCTCTTCCGGCATCTCCCACACCCCTTTCCCTCCCAAGAATAGTCAGTCCATTCCCTTTCTATGTCCCTGATTCTATTATGATCACCAGATTATTTGTTCACTTGATTCTTAGATTCACTTGTTGATAGATGCATGTTTGTTGTTCATAATTTGTATCTTTACCTTTTTCTTCTTCTTCCTCTTCTTAAAGGATACCTTTCAGCATTTCATATAATACTGGTTTGGTGGTAATGAAATCCTTTAGCTTTTCCTTATCTGTGAAGCTCTTTATCTGACCTTCAGGTCTGAATGATAGCTTTGCTGGATAAAATAATCTTGGTTGTAGGTTCTTGGTATTCATCACTTTGAATATTTCTTGCCATTCTCTTCTGGCCTGCAAAGTTTCTGTTGAGAAATCAGCTGACAGTCGTATGGGTATTCCCTTGTAGGTAACTGAGTTTCTTTCTCTTGCTGCTTTTAAGATTCTCTCTTTGTCTTTTGCTCTTGGCATTTTAATTATGATGTGTCTTGGTGTGTTCCTCTTTGGATTCCTTTTGTTTGGGGTTCTCTGTGCTTCCTGGACCTGTAAGTCTATTTCTTTCACCAGGTGGGGGAAGTTTTCTGTCATTATTTCTTCAAATAGGTTTTCAATATCTTGGTCTCTCTCATCTTCTGGCACCCCTATAATTCTGATGTTGGTACGCTTGAAGCTTCTTCACATTTCGAATCTTTGACTTGATTCTTGCGCTCCTCTGGTCTGCTGTTGGGAGTCTGTATAGTATTCGTTATTTCAGTCCGTGTATGCTTAATTTCTAGTTGGTTCTTTATCACAACATCGAGGGTCTCATTAGATTTCTTGAGGATCTCACTACATTTATTGGCGGTCTCACCAGTCTTTTCGAGGGCCTTACTAAGTTTATTGGCAGCTTCTAGACAGTTCTTGAGAGACCTTAAAAGTGTGGTTTTGAGCTCTATATCTTCCATTTCTGACATTTGCATCCTGTTTCTTTGTCTCCGCATTTTTTATCTTTTCTTGGTGCACCCCCTAGTGGTCTTTGTGCGCAGTCTTGTTGTAGTTAAGCCTTGATTGTTGTTGGCAATACGGGGGGGTGATTTGACCTTCAGGCTAACTGGCTATGAGAGTCAGCTGTGTCTGCAGTGGGAGAGTTTCTCCTAAGTCTATTTTCAAAAAGACCCTTGAAAGGATTCTTTTTATCCAGTAAATAAAAAAATTATTTGGGTTAGTGGCAATTTTATTGGCTTTGGAGTATATAAAATATATGTAACCTTGGAATGAAAGGAGAAAGGAAAAAAATATGGAAAGCATAAAGCACAGAATTACACATTTTCCAATATAATTATTTAATTCAGAATCCCTAAACATGTAATTAATTCATACAGAATTTGTTACAATAAAAAATGATAACTTAATCCTGGGCTCTGCTTTCTCTTTGATATTTATTCTGTGTGAAAAATCTAAAAATGCTATGCTAAGCAAAATAAGCCAGTCAGAGAAAGATAAATATCACATGATCTCACTCATATGTGGTATATAATGATCAACATACTTTGATGAACAAAAATAGACAAATGGCAGGGGAGGGGGGGTGGTTAGAGAGCAACCAAAGGACTCGTATGCATGAATATTAGCATAAGTAATGGACACAGACACTAGGGCTGTGGGGGCTTGCCCAGGGTGAGAATGGTTGGGGGCAGTCAATTGGGGAGAAAGGAGACATATGTAAAACTTAAGATGATATATATATATATATATATATATATATATATATATATATATACATACTAGAGGCCTGGCGCATGAAATTCTTGTGCAGGTATGGTCCCAAGGCCTGGCCTGTGATCAGGGCCATCTTCCATCTTCCCCAGCTGCCCGCAGCTGGCCTTGCCCCCCCCCCCCCCGCCACCACCCAGCCCCGGTTCCCCATTTGCCATTGGTGATCAGTGCCTGACAGTGGGGTCAGATATCCAGAGGTCGGCTGTTCCTGCCCTCTTTCCAGCCCTGCCCCTGCCAGCTGGGAAAAGGGACCAAGAGGTGGCCAGTGCACCTCATAGTGACTGGTCCAGTGGTTGTTCTGGTGGTTCTGCTGTTAGGGTCAATTTGCATAATACCAATTTGTTATATAGGATAGAGGCCTGGTGCATGGGTGGGGACCGGCTGGCATGCCCTGAAGGGGGCCTCAGATTGGGGTGGTTGGTCCTCACTGGGGGTTGGGACCAGCCTGGGAGAGGGGCCACCGGCAGTTTGCAGGCCGGCCATGCCCCTGATGGGGTGGGGGTCTCCGCTGGGGGGTGGGGCCGGCCTGGGTGAGGGGCCTGGCACAGTTTGCAGGCCAGCCATGCCCTCGTTTGGGGTGGGGGGTTCCTGCTGGGGCAGGGCCAGCCTGGGTAAAGGGCCTGGGATGGTTTTCAGGCCACACCCCCAGCTTTGTTAGGAAGGACATCCAGAACACATTCAGTCTAATTTGCATATTACCCTTTATTAGTATACTAGAGGCCCGGTGCACAAAATTTGTGCATGGGGGTGATGGTGGTCCCTCAGCCCGGCCTGCACCCTCTCCAATCCGGGACCCCTTGGGGGATGTCCAACTGCCGGTTTAGGCCCGATCCCCCAATGGCCCTCCCCTGCTGGCCTGGTCGCCTCCAACAGCCCCTCTCTGCAGGCCTGGTCACCCCCAATGGCCCTCCCCTGCCAGCCTGTTTGCCCCCAACTGCCCTCCCCTGCTGACCTGGTTGTCCTCAACTGCCCTCCCCTGCTGGCCTGATATTGTCCCCAACTGCCCTCCCCTGCCGGCCTGTTTGCCCCCAACTGCCCTCCCCTGCCAGCCTGATCTCGCCCCCAACTGCTCTCCCCAGCCAGCCTGATCACCCCTAACTGCCTCTGCCTCGGCCCCCACCATCATGCCTTTGTGTGGAAGGAAGTCAGACATCCGGAAGATGGCCAGTCGACCTGGTCTAATTAGCATATTATCTTTTTATTAGTATATATATACTTAATTGGAGTCTAAATCATATATATGTGTGTGTGTGTGTGTGTATATATATATATATATATATATATATATATATATATATATATATATTTTGAGAGAGAGAGAGAGAGAGAGAGAAGGGATTTAGACTCCAATTAAGCTCAACATTAGGTACAAAGATTTAAGTTAATATTAACTCTTACAAAGACTACACAAAAATGTTACCAATATGTCAGTAAATAAGAACTATTAGAGACAAATTTATTCCTTGTCATTGTAATGAACATTTCCTTAACATTTGTAGGTCTTAACCAGAGACAAATTTTGTTGTTGCTGTTTTTTATAATTTATTTTAGCAAATAACTTATAATACTCGATACTATTAATTTTGGAACATATTAACAAGTTACTCTCATAGCCTAGTAACTCTGCTACTGAATGCTATAAGAAACTTCTATTTGATTGAAAACACATTTATTGCTATTTAGATCTTATGCAGAGCTTCACAGTTTGGGGACCAAAATTTATTTTATTCAAATATGAACATGTGCAGTAAATACTTAAATACTTTTTTTATTATGAGAGAGTTTCATTTTTTAGTGTCATTTGTGAAGTTGTCCCAAACCTAACTAAGGCACTCTTGGGGATCATCTTGAATCATGGGATTTTTCCATTATGCACAGTGAATGAATATTTTCATTTTATTTCTCTCATTGGTATACTTGCCTTACTGTACATCCATAAATTATTATTCACAATCTGCACTTAGCAATAAAATTCTACTCTTTAAATGTAAATGATTAATTCATTTTTAAAGTTACAAAATTTTCACAGTACAAATGGGGACATAGAGATTGATGAGGTAGACCCATTCAAAACAGTGAGACATTTCCAGCCACCAGGTGGTTGGATCAATTAGGCTTCTTATTCTTCAGAACAAAGAATAACAGTTAAATTCTGATGTTAACTTTTAAAAACCTTAGATTTCAATGATAGAAAAAGAATATTTTTAACAATGAAAACTCTGGAAGAGAAACAAAGAAAGCTCTAAAATGATTTTGAGAGTCAAACTAGATCTAGAAAAAATAGGTTGTAAATTTTGGTTTTCATAATTAAAATTATAAAAATAAAAAGCATGAGGAATTTGGAAATACACTGAGTACTTCAAAACC